TAATGTAATGTAATGTAATGTAATGTAATGTAATGTAATGTAATGTATGTATGTATGTATGTAAAACACCTAAAGGAACTTAGGACTTGTCGAACATACATAGCGATTCCAAAGGCCTATGTCATCAGGCTTGAACCAACATGGTCCTATCAAGTCCTATGTCATCAGACCACAACCATCCCAAGACAATACATGGAAAATGAGGCTTTCAGTGAAGATGCTTGATTTTTTCTTTTTTGTATTGTGGAGGTGTCCAAAGGTCCTATGACACCAGGTTTCCCCACCCAGACATCCTGTGTTGCTCGATGTGTGAGCGCAGATGACCTTGCCCTGTGGGTAGCCGTATGGGAATGTCACTTGAACCACATTTGCCTAAGTCACTAGGCAGCAGTATGTATATAAACACCGATGGTCCTGTCTTGGATCTTCTTTTTTCCGCCTCCGCCTCTGGCTGACTTCAGGCCTCTCTGGCCGCCTCGGCGCGCGTGGCCAAAGAAATGCGCCGCCTCCTCGACGCCTCTCGGACTGAAGAGTCCGAAGAGTGAGGCTCTCGGCGCTTTCGAAGGAGTGCTTACCCAGGGCTGGGGAGGAGGAGGGTGCTTTGGCAGGGTGGAGGCCATGCTTCTTAGGCGGAGGCCGTCGCTATTATGTATAATTTGGTTGGAGGCCAGTGCTGTTAGTTTCTACTTAGAGGTTCAGGGGCGGTGTCCTTTGCACCGGTGGGTCCTGGTGCTTTTCTTTTTAGGGGGGGTGGGGTTGGATGAGCAGAGGCCGGGGAATGGGTATTTGAAATCAGTGGCATGTGATGATATGCATGTTTAATGCCATGCCTTTTCTGGAACAAGGCTAGACTCAGGTGTCATCAGGTGGGGATTTCTCTTTTGCAGGGGCCAGATTTGGTCAGATGGAAGATCCACCAACTGGTCTGAGGGTCGAATCCGTGGTGACGTGTGTTGTACGAAACCCTCGTTTGGGAGCGGCCGTGCTGGTTGAAACTCTATGGCTCGACAAGCCACACCAGAGAAGCAACGACTGTTCCACGACAAATTTGGAGAAGCAACTGGAACCTTGGTTGATTGAGGGTGTGGAGAAGAGAGACGAGGAAGATGTTTCTTACCCCTCGAGGCCCTCAGTCCTGTGATTCTGCAAGTGAAGAGCTCTTCCCTTCTTAAAGGGTTGCCCAACCAATCGCTCGCCTTTCTGGAACATGCTCAGGCTCGCAGCACGAACGTACAGCCATCAAGCAAGCTCACCATGTCAGACAGCCTCTTTCGGACAGCTCACCATGACGGGCCCCATCCGGTCTCGCATCGCAGATCTTCACGACGGGCCCATGGGGGGTCGGACCTTGAGATCTTCCCACGGCCCCGAACGCACCGTCACGTAGACGAGCGGTTTCGTCCCACGAAACCGCACGACCCCCGAACGAGCGAATCACGCGGCTTTTTAGTTTCTCTCAGCGACCGTTCGACGTTCGCACCATGGCGGATCCGGGCGTGATGGTCTCATGCCTTGGACGCGCGCGCGGCGGGGCTGGCTTTTTCGGGAGCGTTCGGGAGCGTTCCTGTCCGAAGAGGTTGATGCCGGCGAGATCCCCCGAGTCACGAGTGCTTTTTGATGAGTGTTTTTACGAAGAGAGAGCCCTTGAGTGAGTCCTTTGAGAGTACGGACTCCTTTTGAGAGAAAGGCCAGATCCTATAGTTCACCTCTTCCATGGTAGCCTCTCTGGTTGAGTGGGGAGTTGTGCCGACCGAATGTTGGATTCGTGCATTTGCACAGCCACTGTCATGATGACGTATACCCGCCTGCAGATTAAACATGGACCCTGAAAACCAGTTGAAGACCATGAGTGGTAGATGAGAATAGTCACAGGGGCCCATTTTCACGGTCCAATGTTCGTCGTCTGCCGGGGGCGCCAGTGCGATGGAAGCAACTTGAACCACGCTTCGGGGTGTTAACGGCACAGTGTTTGTAGCTCCCATCCATCATTACTTTGCCAAGGGCGAAAGCAAGGCGCTGGTGGAAGAGGCCATGGAGATGCTACAGCAGAGACTGGGACTGTCTGGCCTCGCAGTCAAGATGGGTCGAATGAGAAAGCAGATCCGAGGATTGGCCAAAATCTATGGTTTGGGTCGGCCCCCCGTAGTTGCTTCAGAATGGAAAGAGGAAAGGGTCCAACTCCTGGAAACCCGTTCTTGCAGATTCTGGGACCTGGTGACAGACACTAGGATCCTTCCAAAGAACACGCCCAAAGTCTTCGGACATTGCACTTCAGAAAGGACCTTGCACATAGCATCACATAACCAACCAGTAGTGCATCAATGAAGTTCACATCCCACACTTCCCAGAATTTCGGCACCAGTTCAGAACGGAGCCAGTGTTCTCACGGCGCATTCGCTCAGTGCTTGGTTTTTTAGCCCTGCCGTGGTATGGGCTCTCACATGCCCTCCCGTGTCCCCATTCAGCGGTGCACGCGGAAGCCGTGGTCATTGGACCCAAAGAACGCCGTCCAAAGGAGTCTTCCCCTAAAGTAAGAGTCAGCTGCTGCGCCCATGTCGGGAGCCAGTGAACCCCTGTTGCATGTTTTTTCCCTCTCCTGGTGCAAGGATGGGAGGTGAAGCCCAACAGAAGGTGGATGAGTTGAGGGAGCTCAATGAGTGCACGGTGCATGTGAGGAACTTCGTGGCTTCTGGGGCCAAAAGTTCGATCAATGGATTGGTCTAAGGCTCTAAGGGAGAACTGCAGGAATCCATAGTTTTCATCACCAAAACCACGGGTTGCCGGCAGATTTCAATCCCTTACATCTGAGATTGGATGGATGGCTGGGTGTTTTTCTCTTGGACACAGGTTTTGAGGGAGGTCAACGGCAGGCGAGTCGTGCCAAAGTCAAAGTGCCTCCTGTAAACGTGATTCGACGGGTGACGGCGATGCTGCAGTGGCTAGCGGTTGGCAGCGGAAATGAAGGGAGCCCTGCGGTGATCATGGCCAGCTACAGGGTGATGAAGAGGTGTCAAGACATGTCAAAAACATGAACCTCAAGAACACATGGATTCCCTTCAGGCACGACCCTCCGAAAGACCCTCAGTGAGGTTCCTCCCAACTGGCCACTTGGCTTGGCACTTGGCCTAGCAGATCACTTTGCCCATCTGAAATTTGAACTCCCACAACTCAACCCATCAGTAAAATAAGTTGTGCAGGAGAAACCATCCATTCACCATACGATCCAGCCCCTGGTGCAGTTCTTCAGCCTTTCTTCCCAGCCTTTCTTCCCTTAGGCAGTTCTTGGCTTGGCCTTCTCCCCTCTGATCATGGTGCTCTTGTTTGGGCTGTCCTTCCTTTTGGCACTCACCGCTGCGAACTATGGCGCGCCGATGTTCTTCGCACCTGAGCTGGACAACTTCGCAGTTCATCTGATGATCAGGAAGATCCTACGGACATGTGAGAAGCATACGAGAAACTTAAGTATACAGTATACACTCCCTGGAAACACCATGGAAGCGGACAACTACCCAGTTTGTCGAGGCAAAATGGTCATCAATAGTCATCAAAAAAGCATGCCATCCACATCATCCATGTCATCCAGGCGCCCCGTCCTCGCGAGGTCTGGCTGTCCGGCTTCTGCGGCCTCTACACCTTCGCCGTCTCGCGAGCGCCGCGCGAACGGAGGAGCGCCAAGGAGGATGTGGGTGAGGGCTTCTATGCGCGCGTGAGGCGCTATGCAGCGAAGCTCAAGGAGGAGGCCGCAGATGGGAGGGAGCGGTGATTTGCTTTTTGCCGTGGACAGCCGTTGGCCACGTGAGGAGCACAATATATATACAGTAAGTATATATATATATATATATCTCTCTCTCTCTCTCTTTCTCTTTCTCTGTGATTATTTGTGTGTGTGTGTGCCCCTTGTAGTCACAGGGATCCGTTTGGATTGTACTTTTGACTCCGTTTTCAGTTTTCATTTTTTGAGCAGGGGGGCGCAGCAGATGCAAGGGACTGCGCCTAACAAAGCTACCTTGCATCTGGGAAGCCTGGTCTGATCAACCTGGTGTACCTGCCTTTGAAAACCTAAGTATGGCAAAAGCTGTCTCATTCTTTGTTGTAAGCGGCTAATGCAGCGACGACTCACCTCGGAGTGTTTGGACCTTTGGAGCTCCACAGATTTGCACGACCCGTCGTCACCCTGTCGCCGCCGTTCGTACTACCTGGAACCTTAGGCGGTTTTACTTAGGCTGGCGTGTGGCACCGCATTCACTGTCAACACCTGTTTCCAAGGTTCGTGCCTGGTAAGTATGCCTGCCGCAGGCTTTTACTAGAAGGCTGGATGCTACTAGTAGCTCCTGGCCTTGCTACTAGGAACAAGAGACCGCTAGAACCAAAGGCGTCGCCACTAATTGAGAACGAAGAGGCAGGGATGCGGAAAAAGAAGCAGGGGGGCGTAGCGTGTTCAGATGACTACGCCCAACGAAGCTAGTCTGAACACGGGATACCGGGATTGGCCATCCTGGCGTGCCTGCTGGACCTTTCGCTCTGGTTAAAACTGTTGCCCAAGCTGTCTGTTTCGTTGTTTCGCAGTAAGCGGCTAGTGCACTGAAACAGATGTTCAACATCTTCAACTACTTGGACTCCACCGCCTTTCGGTTTGTGCTTCTTTCTGTTCATCAAGTCAAGGGGGACTTCAATTTGAACCTAGCTCTTGCGAGCAACCTTCTAAGTGTGTATCGCCACAGAGTCCCACTGAGGGCTGTGGTGTGATCCCCGTCGAGGGGCGCTGCATGTGCATAGACCCAGATCCTGGGGGACCCACCCTGAACTTCCGTCTTGACTCTTGGACTTCTTTTTGATACTCCTCGATCACCTGCTCTGCATGACGCCACTGATACTACGCCGCAGGGCTCACACAGATCAGAATCCAGTCAGGACATTCGCATTCAGCTAAGTAACCAGATGTACAGTTCGATGCTTACAGGCGGGATTCATGCGTAGGCCAAGTTGCATGCGCTTGTCATGTTCTTCGGTTCTTTCTCTCTTGCTGTTGCTCTTCGTTTCTTGAGGCCTTTCTTTAGGTTCCAGGTGCCTTTCAGACAAGGGTGCGCCGGCCCTAAATCGTGCTTTATTTGAATGTCAGTGATGGCAATGCCTTCGGGCCACCCTAACCCACCCTCCCCCCTACCTCCCTGCCCCTGGCCTCTGTTGCTATCCCACCCGCTATTTAGGGTAACGGAAGGAAATCGCACTCAACACACTTGTGCGTTGGTGCCTTTCCTTCTGTTTCTCCTGTCCTACTCCTAGCTACCCGGGCGGTTTAAGACTAAAGTCCCGCTCGCTAACTATTTTCATTTATAACTGAGTGGGCCTCGTCACTATACCTATCTTTCTTTCTTGCCCTCTTCGTGTGCTTTTCTTTGTTTTCTTTGTTTGTCTTTCTAAGGCTTTTTAGGTGGCTAGTAATTTTCCGGAGCGCCGATATCGGCGTTGTGTGTACAAAGCTGTTGCGCAACATCGTTTAACGCAAGGGGTGCAGAGCGCCGATTGCGGCATAGTGTGTGTGTCAACACCTGTTTCCAAGGTTCGTGCCTGGTAAGTATGCCTGCCGCAGTCTTTTGCTAGAAGGCTGGATGCTACTAGTAGCTCCTGGCCTTGCTACTAGGAACAAGAGGCCGCTAGGACCAAAGGCATCGCCACTAATTGAGAACGAAGAGGCAGGGATGCGCTAAAAGAAGCAGGGGGGCGCAGCGTGTTCAGATGACTACGCCCAACGGAGCTAGTCTGAACACGGGATACCGGGATTGGCCATCCTGGCGTGCCTGCTGGACCTTTCGCTCTGGTTAAAACTGTTGCCCAAGCTGTCTGTTTCGTTGTTTCCCAGTAAGCGGCTAGTGCACTGAAACAGATTTTAAGCATCTTCAACTACTTGGACTCCACCGCCTTTCGGTTTGTGCTTCTTTCTGTTCATCAAGTCAAGGGGGACTTCTCACTTTGAAAATAAAACCCCCGCGAGCAGCCTTCTAAGTGTGTGTTTGTGTCTCTCTGTGTATATATATATATACATATACGGTACGGCAGTGGGTCACAACCAGGAGACCGTGGTTGAACACCAAATGAAGAGAACAGACTGCAAGGGATGTGGTTTTGGGGTCCAGGTTTGGACCCGCACCTACACATGGTTGCTCGCTGATTAGGGCCTTGTGGGGGTACAATGTGCATAAGCAAAGATCTCAGAATCCAATCCCAGAAATAAAGGCAATGATTTGGAAACTATGCCGGATCTGAAAACCAAACAACAAAAAACACACCATGCCCAATCCTAAAACGAAAAACGATAATTTGGAATCTATGCTCATCCTGACTAGTTTGTTGGATTTGTTTGGGACCAGATCCGTGTGCAACGAAGCAGCTTATAAACACAACACATGTTTGTAGACAATGCATTCTGATCTCACTAGTGACTAATCCTTTGCAGCATTCCAATTTCAAGCCCATAACGTGCCATCTCATTTTGCCCTTCTGTCATCATGTCGACGTTCTTCGAAGGGCTTTGTAAGGAATTTGCCCTATGCACTTGACAAAGTTGGACCAAGTCGTTGAACTTGGCTCCACCAAGGTCAAGCTACTTAGAAGTGAAACAGATACTACCTCCTAAACAGCAGTACCAGTTTAGGCTTGAAAGCCTGTAGTGCAGATGTGTATACACAAGCTCAAGCAATAGGTCATTAGCATTAATTGGAAGCCAATCTAAAGTAAATCCCGCATTCACTGCAATGTAACTGTTGATTCAAGTGTAGATGCTCTAGCGGTAGATTTAGTGGGATTAACTGCTGAGGCTGTGATTCCAAATTCATTCAATTCAACAAACCTTATTGCTGACCCTACAAGGGCACACAATGCTAACAAATGACACACCAGCTGATTTTATGCCAACTCAGTTTTGGAAATGAAGATGACCAGCACCAAAGGCATATCCTTAATGCTATTTGCATACATGTCACCCGTTGATATTCTCATGGTATTTGCCACGTTGAAAAATATATTACGGACCTAAAATATCCTAACATATTCAACTCAATATCTTGAAAATACTACAGTACCAGTATTGTTCAGTGTATCAGCTGAATTACTTTGCCAATCCTGGTGTCAGGATTGACAACATTGAAGGTTTTTGACAATCAAGAATGCTTGTAATGGAGCGCAGGAGCTGACTGTCGATAGTGTTTCTTATTTCGGTTGCGCTGTTGAATCTTTTGGCGAGGCTACTTTTCAAAACGAAGCACAACTCCCAGGGGCCAAAGATGCATTTTAGAATAGAACGATGGAGCAAACAAAGGATTACGATACAGTTGTTTAGTTTAATGATGATGCTTATCGGGCATTTGTTTTAGGGAACCCCATTGATAGAGAGTAGTATGAGTAAAGTCTGGAAGACTGCCAGAATTGATTTAACACAACAAGACAGCATAGCAAGCCAAAAACCATGTGGCGCTTTCAAAGGAAAGGAACAACAGTTTTGGCAATGAAGAGTGCATCTTTAGCGGGAATGGGGAGGAGTTCATGAGATTTACAACTGCATGATCTACAGAGCAACTAAATGGTCAGTTCTTAAATGTAGTAAAGGCGGTGAACCGAGCCACCGCACACTTACATTGTGGTGTGTGGAAGAGATGCAGATGCACACACACACATATATATATATATCACACACATATATATATATATGTGAGATACACATGGGTGGCGCTGATGTAAGCACTAAAAAATTTAAGCTATAAATTATAGGTCTTGGAACACTCCCCCAGAAGGCCCCGTAACCAGCGCTCGCCCACAAACACACACGTATATATATTTTTATATACATACACGTATTTGTGTATTTTAGCGGCGTTTGTTAAGTGTTCACAATACATAACCCCGCCGGACTCTGATGCCTAATTGTTACGAAGTCCACGCGGCCGACTGGTCTTGAAGACTGGTCACAGGCGTCCATCTATGATGACCCACCCCGCCGGGCGGCGTTCTGCCAAATGCCCTGGCTGGCGGCGGTGGCGCTTTTAGGGCTAGAGACCTCTGTGGCAGCGTCTTCGGGGTACATGTGGGAGTTCCTTCAGGCGGGTTGAGGGGCAATATTGAAGGGAGGGAACAAAGAGAACCATGAACCCCTAGAGTCCCCCGAGTTGAGCTTCAAATCGGAGAGGTGGATCCAAGGTAGGAGAACAGATGCCGCACGTGTACCATCCGACCTCTTTGGTCATGGATCTTCCCCTTGAGATCAGAAGCATCAGAGTGGTGCATCTAAAAGGTTCAAAGTTTGAAGTTTGACGAAGCAGGCTCCTATCCGACAATGGGAGAGAGAGAGAGACACACAGACACACACACACATACACGGTATATACTGTATGTATAACTATATATGAAGATACGAATAAATATGTTCACCAATCCGGCTTTTCAATCAACAGTGCCTATCATGATTCGCAATGTCGGTCTTCCAAGGGATGCCCCGAAACCCTTGTGGCCAGCAATTCGTCCTTCTTGTTGGAAGAGGAAGACTTCGAAGTTGCCACATGGCTTGGCATTCAATGCGCCCGTTGTTTCAGACACCCCATTGTCTCAGGTGAGTGGCGCATTGTAAAAACGCTTGCGCGTCCTTATCCGTACGTCCTGCGCAGGTCCCCCTAAAAAACCTTCCCATTGTCCGTGTCCGCGCGCGGTATGGCCTTCCTCTGAGCGCGCGCGCGGACACGAGGCCTTCCTCTGTATGGCCCTCACCTCTGTGGCCAGTGGTCTTGCGCTGCACCGCTCGGCCACCGGCCGCAGCCTGTTCGACCGCCTAGACCCACCGGGCGCCACGGACGCGGAGCTGCTGGCAGCCACCCTGGCACGGTGCCCATGGGTGTGGCAGGCGCTCGCGGCCTTGGCAGTGCTGGCAGAGCCACTGGTGGAGGACATGTTGGGCAGCTGCGGGTGAAACGCAGAAAGAAGAGGGTAGAACAGGTGTTAAACAGTCAATGGAAAGCGCCTGTTCTTCTGCCACACAAGGTGACAAGAAGCATATAATTGTATTGTTTGTTTCTTCGTCCTTTCTGGCTCGTTCTGGCGTTTGTGGGTGTCGGATGACCCATGGAGCGTCAACCCCCCAGTGTGCGTCATGGCACCTGAGAAACCCAAGAAACGGTACGCCGTGGGCCATTGGCGGGGTCGTTGCTTGAGCCTAACTATATGGTCACGGGCGCACTGGTCGCCTGAGGCCTGTGTTGTAAACCCCCTTGCAAACGGAGCGTTCATGGAACATAGTGAAAACATGCAGGTTAAAAAACTGTTTGTTTTCATCAGAGCGGACCGCATATGTTTGACCTTATATCAGCCACTGTCTCGGATCACTTGCATCAGAGCTTCCAGCACATCTTTTGGCGCTGACTCTTTCAGTTCTCTTCTCCAAGCAAACTACCAGACTTGTCTTTCAATGGCTGGGTTAAGTGTATGAGCCTTTCACTAGGACCTTTCTCGGCAAGTGGGTAGTAGTAGGAATGAAGTTGTTCATTTCCTGCCACGCTCGATCTATTTGCTGGGTCCCTGCCGTCGAGGACACATGGAACACCCCCCCTCCCCCCACCCCCCACCCCATTGTAATCACACGACTAACCGATGACCATGTTATGAAACCGATGACAATGTTATGACACCAATGACAATGCTGCTGTGAAAGCAGTGAAGCGTACGAAAACACCAGGCGGCTGATCAACCTGTGGGCAACTATATATATATATATAGAACTTATACAGTGCATAAAAGTTTGGGAAGATGATCGTCTCGGCCGGCGTCTTCATGTTTTGGTGGGTCCATGCTATACATCTCCTCTTTCTCTCCCTCTCTCTCTCTCTCTCTCTCGCTCTCTCTTTTCACTATGTGACTATTATGACCCAGGTGTGCGTGGCTCGTCATGTTGCCAGGAGAGTTCACCCTCAGCAGTGGAGCTTCAAGCCATGGGAGAAGAACAGCTTCAGAAGGCCTCAGGCTATTTGTGCAAGGCGCGTGCACATGAACGGCCCCCCTGATGAACATCAGGGCCCTTCATGCGGGTTTGTAACGATCTGTTTGCGCGTGCGGGGAGGGTGTGGGGATGGCAGTTACAGTTGTGTTGCACATGGAAAAACAGTGAAGAGGGCCACAACACTAGGTATCTTTACAGAAAGTCTGGATTGCGTTTGATTTTGGAGTATGTTGAAGCTTAGGCGGGCCAGTCAAAAACATGCACCAAATGGCTGGCTAACATGCCGGAACACTCCAGCTAATCCATTTGCGTGGACGAGGCCGGAGACTCCTGCGTCGGACCTTCTCCACTTTCCGACGGGTTCAGGTGGAGTCCCTCCGAACGAAGCTGCAGCGGAAGAGCAGCAAGGTGCTGGACACGGCGGTCTCGATCGAGCAACTTGATACCAGCTATATAACTATAATTTGGCGTTTTTGAGGGCAGGGGCACGGTTGACGGACAACCCCCAGATCCAGAGTGGATCTTATGGTTCTAATATGTTCTAATGATCAATGGTCAACATCAGACATTGAAGCGGTTCTGAGACTCACTTGCTAGAAGGCGTGCTCTGTAGCTGAAGGCTACGCCCCGTGCGTGAAACGCACCCGAAAAGGGCGCGGCGGTTTGTCAGAGCCATTGCTGATTGCCGGTGTTTCCTTTGCCGGTGTTTCCTTTTAGCTCTACATTCATCGTTTCTCCCTGCTCCATTTTGGACGTGGAGCACCGGGTCGCCTACCCGTTGGGTCCCCCAGAGTGATCCGCTCCGGCACGCCTTGGCCCGTGGCCCGTGGGACGCTCCTCGCAGCGTCGAGGAAAGTGCTCGGTGGCACCGCCGCGGAGCGAGAAGAGTCCATGAAGGACAAGACAGTGGGGTGTCTTCGCATTCCGGTGCCACCGGGAGGAGCACCGGGAGGTTTAAAGCTCCAAATCACCACTTAGGGGGGGATCTTGGAAACGAGCCATTGGGGATTTCGTTTTCACGTGCTATGTGCAAGCTTGGAGAAGATTGAAGGGAGCTAGTTCCTATCTTGAATTCCATCACACTTAGTGCCGGCTTGGTGGTTTCAGCTGCAGGTTATGGCAGACCCCCTCATCCCCACAAGGATTGAAATCCAATACCGGTGCCGCAATGTCAGGACCTTAGCCAGAAGGCGGCCTCAAATGTCAAGGGTTTGGCTTGTGCAACTTGGCTTCCGCGGGGGTGGGGGTTGGACGGTCACAGTGATGGTTCCAACTTACAACCCCGAAGTGGAGGGACGGAATGGTCTTAACAGGCAAGACAAGCGCATCTTTGTACGGAAAAAACCGGCAGAAACCACAACAATGCTGGAAACCACCTATAGACTCGCCACCGATCCGGATGGGTTCCTAGGGAAGATCCTCGCGTGCTTGTGTGGCCCAAGCTGGAGGCTAGCTGCTCACCCCGGCTTACATGTTCCGCAAGAATCTCGTCTCAGAAAATCACGGGCACCTGCCGTAGCGACTGCGGAACCGTTGTGGGCACCGTCGTTCGGAGCCCCGAGGCAGCCACCAAGCTGCTGGGTGTCGGGCCACAGGAGGGCGAGGAGCGCGAGGAAATGAAGGCTCGGGAGCAAATGAAGTGCGAGGAGCTTGGCGAGTTTGGTTATATTCGCGGTGTGTGTGTAAGTACATACATATATACATGTCACGAAAGGTAGCGGTTACGCTACCTGAGTTTTCCTTTTGCTTTAGCAAAAATGTATTAACCCAGAGCTGCAGCCTATCTCTCGGAGAAATGGTCCCCGACATCTTCGTTTGCGGGCCGGGGGGGGGGGGCCCCCCCCCCCCTTTCAACTCCACCCTAGCGCGCCTCGGGGTCAACCGTTCGAAAACACTGTAAATATCACTGTTTTCAGCTCTTCCAGTCCTCAGCAGTGACACAAAATCATTGAATTTACCGCGTTTTTTGTGGCTGTCCGGCAAAAAACACCGCAAAAACCGATGGTTTTTGATGCGTCTCGGTTAGAAAAATGACCGAAAAAAGACCAAAAACCAGGAAAGATTTTGTCAGAAAGGGTTTTTGAGGCTTTTGGAGGCTTCAAAATTGCACAAAACTATGGTATTTACAGGGTTTTGTGCACCTTCCCGGCAGAAAACGCCGGTATTTACACGGTTTTCTGCGCTTTTCCAGCGCTCAACCGTGGTGCGCCTTTGGATCGACGGCTACAAAATACCGTAAATACCAGTGTTTTCAGCTCCTCCTGTCTTCAAGCGTGGCCTTAGACCTTGCCGCGGCTGTGGATCGACGGCAACGAAACCTCGTAAATACCAGTGTTTTTGAGCACGTCCTGTTTGCAAGCATGGCCTGCGGCCACGCAATTTACAGGGTCGCCGCACGTCACTATGTAAATCCGAAGTTGCATTTGAGAAATGTGTGACTCCTTTTGAAGGCACGTCAACCTGTATTGAAACCGCTAGACCGCTACAGCTTCTGGAGGTTTTGTCAAGCGTTTGTGCACTAGTCTTTCTTTCATCACGCTCACTCACTTCTCTTCAAACAAGTGGGGGGCCTCTCACCTCCTCCCGGATTACGCCTGATTCCCTGCTACCTTTCGTTCACCCCCCTCCTCTCTCAAGTATACCCTACCCTACCCTACCTTCCATATACCATACCATACCATACATGCATTCATCCCTCTCTCTCTCTCTCTTCTCTTCTTGACTGCGTTCTACCAAATGCAGGCAGTGATTCTAGCTCGTTGCGACTGGTAAACTATGCCGAAACACCGTGGAAATCCAATTCCTTTTGGTCCTTAGCCTTCCTTTTTGTCGCCAACGGTGTTGGACCGCCATCGCGCCGAAGCGGAGGCGGTGGCCAGCGCCTCCGGGAACCTCGTAGCTGGGGCGGTTGGCCTGGCCCTGCCACTCGGGAGCAGAGACGACGGGGCTGCATCTAAGTACCTGCATGTCGGCTATCGAGCTGGTTGTGGCACCGAGAGCGGTTCTGGCCGGCAAATATGCAGGATGAGGATGACGAGGAATCTCAAGGTCAAGGACTTATACTGTTGAGGATGGTTGAAACTAAACAGTGAAACCGTTTGAAACCACCGGGGAGTTTGGAGGTTTGGTTTCACACCTCTTCATGGGGCCTGAATTTTGCACTTGTTTCAGCCCCCACGTGAGCTCTTCAGCTAAGGAATGCGAGTGGGGTGAACAAGAGCGAAAAGCTGCTTGGGCTCATTACATCCCGACGCGCCACGAACGGGGTGTTGGAACGGCGGTCGCCTGAAGGTCCCACAGAACACATGGTGGGAAGAGGTACCTAGCCAGATGATGGAAAAAGACGAAGAGACCCTGGACGCCAGCATCAGCGTCTACTCAGGGTTTGAAGGGAGGAGGAGTCACTCATTGATTCAATCTTTGCACCATTGGTTTGCACTTTCTTTCATAAGAAGTGAGAACCTTGATCGGTGAGAGCCTCGTTGGGTAAGCTGTCTCAGTGCTTGCCACTGAGGCCTGCAAGTCAGGCGGAACAAGCGATGAGGGGTGGGCTGCAACTCTTGAGCCGGTTAGTTGTAAAATGATGGAGCCAAGCAGTTGAACCTGGGAGCCTGGGCATGTGGTGTTCAAAAGGTTGGTCGATTCCATCCGATTCCTGATTTGGGGGTGTTGCATATATTTACTTGGTATTTTCCATGGAGGTTTTCCATGGTGTGCTTGGACAGTTCTCTAGACTCTAGACTGAACAGCTCGCCGCGGAGTTCTGGCGATGGCCAGCCGCAATGCGCCATGGGGGTCCTGATAGGTGCCAGCGCCAGAAAATCGTCTCATGTTGAGCCTAGGGGTTAGTGGCCTCGTGACTGAAAACCAAAGTTGGCCTTCGGTGTCCAAAGCAGCTAGTTGAGCATAGAGCGGAATTTGTTCCAGAGGATGATGTGGTTGAAGAGGCTTATTTTTATGAAGTGCTTTTGGGCTCGCGCTAGGCCGCTAGGTTCGAAAAAACTTGAAAAACCATTGAAAACAAGCTAGATACATGCAAAACCAACCCAAAGTAAAAGTGCAAACAAGACACACACACTGCCCAAAAAATAGCAACTAGACGACGAGTGGCCCGAAAGCATTTTTCATCACGTAGGAAGTCAGAGTGTGAGTTATCTGTTAAGCGTTCAGTGTGAAGTGTGAAGTCGAGTGAGTTGAGGCAGTGCGTGGGTCTCTGTGTGTGTGTCAACCTCTCAAGAGAGCCGGGTGGTAGACATGACTCAGCTGCAGGGGCGCCAGAGCAGCCGCGAGAGATGACTCAGCCGCGAGAGATGACTCATCCGCGCACTAAAGTTGTACTACAAAGTCGCCAGTTCTCAGCTTCCAGCTCCAC